TCTTGTTCTATGTATTTGGAAAACTAAAGGTTCACATTTATTTATTTATTTAGATAAGTAAATAGTTTCGCTCAGTCGCCCAGGCTAAAATGCAGTGGCATAGTCTTGGCTCACTGCAACCTCCACTTCCCAAGTTCAAGAGACTCTCCCACCTCAGCCTCCCAAGCAGCTGAGACTACAGGTGTGCGCCAACACGCTCGGCTAATTTTTGTATTTTTAGTAGAGATGGGGTTTCCCTATGTTGACCAGGCTGGTCTTGAACTCCTGACCTCAAGTTATCTGCCTGCTTTTGCTTCCCAAAGTGCTGAGATAAGAGGTGTGAACCACTGTGCGAGACCAAAGTTCAAATTTAGACAAGCTAAATCTGAAAAAGAGCAAAGAGGAGGGATTTGCCTTATTATATATTAATACTCAGTAATACAATAGTAAATAAAAACAACACGGTACTGGTGTAGTAATAGACAAACTGACCAACTGAAAAACAGGTCAGAAGCAGAACACAAATGAAATAAAAACACAAAGATATAAGTGGCATCAAAAATCAACAGAAAGGAGGCTGTGCTCATGCCTGTAATTCCAACACTGTAGGAGGCTGACGTGGGCGGATCACTTGAGGCCAGGAGCAAGACTATCCCAGCCAACATGGTGAAACCCCATCTCTAATTAGCTGGGCATGGTGTTGTGTGCCTGCAGTCCCAGCTACTTGGGAGGCTGAGGCAGAATTGCTTGAACTGGGAGGCAGAGGTTGCAGTGAGCCAAAAATTAACAGGAAGGAATAAACAGAGTAGACTTATAGGAAAAAATGGCCTAGGTCCTCACTATACCACAGTCTGTATTACAGACAGAATAAACACTTAAGTGTAATTCTAAGTAGAGTAATGGACTGTAAAAGAAATTAAAAAAAATACAGAATATCTTTGTGATCTGGAAATGCAGACTGCTTTTAAACAAGACCTCAAAAGCACTATTGAAAGAAATAAAACTGTATTCGACTCCTCCCCAGGTTTCTTCCAGCTCTCTCACCTTGTCAAATATAGTTGATCCTTATTACTTGCAGATTCTGTATTTGTGAGTTTGGCTACTTGCTAAAATTTATCTGCAACACCAAAATCAATACTTGCAATGCTTTCGCAGTCATTTGTTGACATGAACAGAGGCAAAAAATTTGAGTCACCTGATGCACACGTTCCCAGCTTTGGTCAAACAAGGGGATGTATAGCATCCCCTTGTTTTAGCTCTCACACTGGAAACAAGTGTCCTTTTCATGGTCTATTTAGTGCCTTATTTGCTGCATTTTTAGCTTTTTGTGATTTCACCGTTTAAAATGACCCCCAAGTGTAGTGATGAGGCTATCCAGGTTAAATGCCGGAAAGCTCCTCTTTCTCTTTAATGAGAAAACACATATATCACAGTGCTATTGGCTACGAGTTCAATGTTAATAAATCCACTATATTAAATAAGGTACCTTTAAAAAGAAACACACATAAAACAAGATATTTATGGACTGGTTGACAAAAATTTGATAAGAGGCTTGAAAACCTAATCCTGTATTACTCCTAGGAACAATGGTTCCGTATTCAGTAATTCAGCATTTGTGGCTCTTTTACAGAATACAACCACCTTGAATATGAATTGGCTGTATATATTAGCAGCTATTCTTGAAGCAGGGTATTCAAAGCTATAATCTACTAAAGAACAGATAATCACATAATTGCAAAAATAAAGCTTTATTTTAAAATAAATTTAAAATAAGTACTATAAAAGAAGCAAACACAGGCTGATGTTGGAAAATTTCAAACAGACTCTGACTTTAGAGAAGGGAGGTCAAGGACAGATTTCCAAAGGCAATGCTGTATGCACTGCATTTTGATGGATAAGTGGGAATCCATCAAACTAAAGGTAGAGAAACACATTTTGCAATGGCTCAGTTTAGGGAGAGAACACACTTCCGTGGAGACAAAAGTTTACTCCACCTTGAATGCTAATCTGCCATGCTGACTTCTGATTAGCCCATCCTGTGAATGCCTCCTGATTATTACTTTATTTACTGTCCTTAGTGTAAGAACAAAGCAACCCTGAGGTTATCACACAAATTACAGGTTAGGATGCAAATAGAATTCTTGCCTGTCTGGAGCGTGGCCTTTAAATGTCTGTATAGAGTACTACATCCTTTCCTTATGGCATGTAAGTACTGGTCTGGTGAGTAATAGGGCAGAGATCTACCTGTCTTGCTGCCACTCAAGAACATGCTCTGTCTGTTACTCCCAACAAAACACTCTTTACTGACCAAACTGAATTTGTCTGCCTCGTTCATTTGATTTCTCCTTCAATATTTGGGGGCACTTTGCATAAAGGGTCTTTTCATGGAACAGCTTCTTTCAAGGAACTCAAAATAGTTTAGGATGATTGGAGCAAAGACTGAAAGGCAAAGAAAGGAGTTTCTAGGCAAAAAGGAAGGTGTCTGATTTATGAAAGTCCCTTTATAGGATGTTAAATAATTTGTCTTATTCTAAAGATAATGTGGAAGTTGATGAAGATTTTAAGCAAGAAAGAGACATGATTAAATCCAAATTTTAGAATTATTGCTATTAAAGGCAATGATGATGAGGGCAAGTGAAGATCAACTGAGATGGAGATCAGCATAAAAGGCAAAAATATTAAAAAGATTTTGTGGCTGGGTGCAGTGGCTCACGCCTGTGATCCCAGCAGTTTGGGAGGCTGAGGCAGGCAGATCACAAGGTCAGGAGATCAAGACCATCCTGGCCAACATAGTGAAAACCTGTCTCTACTAAAAAATACAAAAATCAGCTGGGCATGGTGGCATGTACCTGTAGTCCCAGCTACTCTGGAGGCTGAGGTAGGAGAATCACTTGAGCCCGGGAGGCGGAGGTTGCAATGAGCCAAGATCATGCCACTGCACTCCAGCCTGGTGACAGAGTGAGACTCTGTCTCAAAACAAAACAAAACAAAAAACCTTTTGCTATTATTTAGGAAGAATAAAAGACTTTAAATAAGACCGTGACAGTGGTATCAGAGATGGATGGGCAAAGTTTGAGCAGTCAGGGAAAGAAATAGAAGTGTTCTCTACGGAAAATAATGTGGACAAATGTTTGGAGAAGTGGGGGGTGAGCAAATCAGTTTACCTGGGGTATACAGTATTGGATAGAAACTTTGGAAGGTTGAAGTGGAAAGCCAGAGTCATGTAATTGCTGGTGATAAAGCTGAAAATATTGGTGGTGTCGGCCTGTGGCAAGGTTACAACAAACAGACTAAACAATTATGATTTTACCTTTCAGCAATATTAAATTTAAAAATAAGGCCGGGGCATGGTGGCTCCTGCCTTTAATCCCAGCACTTTGGGAGGCCGAGATGGGTAGATCACGAGGTCAAGAGATGGAGACCATCCTGGTCAACAAGGTGAAACCCTGTCTCTACTAAAAATACAAAAATTAGCTGGGCATGGTGGTGCATGCCTGTAGTCCCAGCTACTCGGGAGGCTGAGGCAGGAGAATTGCTTGAACCCAGAAGGCGGAGGTTGCGGTGAGCTGAGATTGTGCCATTGCACTCCAGTCTGGGTAACAACAGTGAAACTCCGTCTCAAAATAAGTAAATAAATAAATTTATAAATACTTTTCATTGTAAAATACATATAAAACCTACCATTTTCATCATTTTAAGTATATGGTCCACTGGCATTAAGTACATTCATATTTTCCAACCCACAACACCACTTATCTCCAGAACCTAAATCATCCCAAACTGAAACTCTATATCCACTGAAAAATAACTCATTTTCCCTTCTCCTGGGCAACCTCTTTACCCCTGTTCCTGCTACCATTCCACCTTCTGTCTTTAGTGTTGACCACTCTAGATACTTCATGTAAGTAGAATCATAATATTTGTCCTTCCATGTCTGGTTTATTTCACTTAGCTAAATCACTTTGGTCAACACCCTGGTTATTCAGTAGCTGGATTCTAATTTGTATTCTACTCTATATGTTATATTTTAATACAAATGTCTAGTTTTGTACTTTATAATCTTTCCACTTAATCCTTAAGGATACTAGCAAATTATAAACTCAGAGTTCCTAAGAACAATATAGTCTATCAGTATCTCCCATAAAGAGTTTTTATTATCTACTTACTGAAAGTGTCTTTAGATTGTAAATATTTTCATTCCACTACAGTTGATGGACTGTAGACCCTTTGTAAAATTCCACTTAGTAGCTAAATAGAATTCAGGCAGGAATCAAACTTATTTGATCACCCAGGAAAAGAGTTTATTTATTTAGGCTGCTGATATTAAGACTCTCTCTTTGATACTATATAATTTCCTGATCTGAGATAGAGCTGAATTTGTTCTAAATAAACAATTTTAAAAATAACAAAACTTATCTTTAGCTGGGGGAAAGTGCAGGCTGGACTACCTGAGAGATATGAAGGTTCCCTCACTTTTCCCTTGTGGCATTCCTGAGTCATTAGGGTTCTACCAACAAATCGAGTACTATTGGACAGGACACAAATCCTCTGGAGGCCTCACTGGGCTCCATTAGATTAGCCTGTTTACAAACCTCATCCACATCACAGCGTACACAGAATATGGTACTGGTCGGGCACTTAGGTAAACTGAGGAAGTAGCGCGCTTGAATATGGTACTGGTAGGGCACTTAGGTAAACTGAGGAAGTAGCGCGCTTGGCACCTGGAACTTACGGGCCGCTCTGTGTCGCGCACGCGAGTATGGACGCTCTCAAGGAGCAATCCACCTGGTAGTTCGTTCCAGCTGATATGCCACGGCGGTCTTACCGCAGACGAGCTGGGCTCCCGCTGTTTTTGCAGTCAAATGCTCTACCACTGAGCTATACCCGCTCCCGCTGTTTTTGAAGTCAGCGGTCTTTCCTTCCTTGTAAGAAATAAGGTCTTTATATCATAAAGGTAAGCAAAGAATAAAAAGGCAAAGAGGCCGCAGGCAACGCACACACGAAAAAATCGAACTCGACCCGCGCATTCTCTGCCGACCTTACGTCTTTCCCAGCAGGCTCCGGGAGCCACCGCGAGACTTAAACAATTCTCGCGAGATTTATCGGCAGCCATCTTCTTGGGGGTACTGGGAGCCGGGAAGACCCCCTGAATCGTTCCCATTGAGCTGCCCTTTGCCTTCGCTTTCTTTACTTTTGCCTTTTCGACGTAGCCAACAAGCACCTAGTCCCGAGGCTCAGAGAACGCCCGGGTCTAAGCGCGTGTCGCGCTTCCGTTGAGGGTAGATTTGCTAGGGAAGAGGAAAGGGGGAGGGCCCGGGCAAACCGTTGCTGCTTCAGCCCGGACGGGGTCCGGGGACCGGGAGCTCCTGGAGCCCTCTGAACTTGAGGCCTGCGGCGGTCCCTGCAGAGCTATTCACCGACCCGGGCCCGCGGGAACCTGCCACCGGCGCCTCCCACCGCGGCCCACGCGGGCGGCGTGCGGAGGAGGGGGCGGGGGCAGCGGCGGCTGTAGCGGCAGCGACCTGGGCGGGCGGAGTGTGACGGGCCTTAGGGCCGCTGTGGATGGTTTCTAAAATGATCATTGAAAACTTCGAGGCACTCAAGTCCTGGCTCAGCAAGACTCTCGAGCCCATGTGAGTATCCGGGGGATATCTCTTTGCAGGGATGGCGGTGGGAGATAGGCGGACCCACAGATCTGTGCCGTTTCCCCAAGTGCCTGCGGTGGAGGCCGAAGCGGTGAAAGGAGGTACTAGGGCTCTGTGTCTTCTCTTCCTCGTCCACCTCGCTTCCAGGTTCAAGATACCCCTTAGAGCCTGCGTCGACCTTTATTTTATTGCTGAGCTGGTCTTATTTTTCCGTTATATGTAGACCGACTCCAACCACCCCCACCCCCCCCAAATATTTTCCGAGGGCCTCAAAATCGGTTTCTTTTAGTGGAACCCAATATATATTTTCTTGCCTACAGACTATTTTATCTTCTTTTTCTAAATGAAGTGAACAGCCTTTATTAGGGATTCGGGCAGTTCTATCTTAAATCACTTACGTTTCACCTAATACAATCCATGAAAGCAAGGCCACGTCTCCCGTGTGCTGTCTGGCTTATCTGCACCTCTCTTCACTGATTCAAGATGTAACAGGTGCTGAGTTGCCCAGTAAAATTCCCCTTTCCCGCCTACACCTTCGTTAGCTTGGAGAGGAGGAAGAAAATTCAATCTTCATCCATATGGAATATTTAGCAGTTTTAAGTGGAATGCTATAGATAGATTTTGTGTTGGGGGTTGGTTAGAGTGCTGATACAGTCTTAGATTGGAAAATTTCAGGGGTGTTTTGAGGACTTGTTAATACAAAATATATCATGAGCTAAGTACTTTATCAGAATTGATTTACAATAAATAATGCAGTGGGGAAATTCACTTATTTAATAAACTTATTGCGGGAGGCTTTGGGATAGAGCTTTTAAATTCTAAAGTCTACAAGACATAAATAAATCCAAATATTAGAGCTGTGACTTGTAATAATAGAGAATCATGTAAAAGAGTGATTAAGAGTGGGGCTCTCAGAGAAGGTGACTTTGGAACAACATCTAAGGAGGAGAAAAGACCATCTGTGTGAAAGTCTTGGAAAAGAACATTCCGTGGAAAAGGAAGAGCAAATGAAAGGCTCTGTAGCAGAAATTACTGTGGTATGTTTCAGGAAGAAAAGGCCATAGTGGCTGGAAGGAGCCTTTGATGAGGGAGAGAGTGTAAAGACATGAGAGGTTGGACAAGTAGGTAGGGGCCATATCATGTATGGGAAGTCCTGGGATGATTTAAAGCAGACAGGGACTAATTTAATTTTGTTTTACCTCTGCCCGTTTTGTAGAGACTGAGACGGAGAAGAATGGAAGGATTCAGAAAGGGTATTGTAAGCAGAAATGTGGCTAGTTTGCATTAGAGTCATGGTGGAGATAGGCAGATCCAAATATATTTCATAAGTAAATCTGATAGAATTTGCTAATGGATTAAATGTGGGAGATGAGGGAAAGGGAAATCAAGGATGATGCCCAAGAAGTTAGCTTAAGCAACTGAGTGGAAGACAGAGAACAGGTTAAGGGGGAGAAAGAAAGGGGGTGGCTAGTTTTCATTATTATGTATGAAGTCTGTGAGATACATCTAAGTGTGATGTCATGTCATTCAACATATGAGTAGTCTAAAACTCAGAACAGGACTAGAGGAATCAAGTCATCAGATAAGTCATGCAAACCATGAAATTGTGGGACATTTCTTAGGAACAGTGTGTAGATAGGGAAGAGAAGAGGGCCTAGTACTGGGGCAGGGTGAAAACTGGGCTTTATGTCATTAAAGAACAAGTGTATGACAAGAGAGGTGTTTATGAAATGCTGCAGAATGAATGAAAAAAGTGGAGGCAATTAAGTAGCCCTTAGATTTAGCAAACTGGAAGTCACTGGTTACGTTAGCAAAATAGTTTCACTGGAGTGGAGTTGTGCAAATGAAGCCCTATTTCAGTGTATTGGAGAGTGGGCATCATAGTATGTAGGGGTGAGAGGAGAACTCTGGAGCAGAATGTCTGGCTTTGAATTCTCACTCTGCAACTTAACCAGCTGTATGATATTGGGTAAGTTACTTAACTCAGGGCTTCCATTTTCTCAACTGTAAAATTGGGAAAATAATAAATATAAAGGAAATGTTAGAATACTGCCTGATGTGTAATTAGCATTCAGTCGTTATTAGTTGAACACAATTATAAAAATGTTTTGGGTTGAAATAGCTTTCTTTTAAGCATTCAGTTTCATATCAGATTTACTGCCATATCCCCCTGCCTTACCTAAATGAGAAGACTATAGCCACTTAGAGTGTTTGCTTGTAATGTTTCTTTAGTCTTAATAAAACATATCCATGTATTATAAAGCCTACTCTCAGATGGCTGTAGCACTGCAGTCATTACTGTTGTCATAAATAGGGCGCTGATAGTAGAGCCTAGACACTGGGAATTGTAATTGGTTCTCTTCTAATGTGTGTAACTGTGGTAAAATTGAGCCCTCATCCAAGTTCCTGTCCCTTTAATTGCATTTCAGGTGGGTTCTTTTGCATGATGACTTACAAAAGCTGATTCCAATTATTTAAGATCAGTGGTTTCTAACCTTGGTTTTGTGAAGCTTTACGATCTGTTATCAGAAAGGAGTTTTTTTTTTTTTTTTTGGCTTTTAACATTGTAATTGCCGAATTCCTTTGTTTGAGACAGGAACATAATAAGGACCAAGGGTAAGCTGTAACTGGAAACTTACGTAGAACTTTTTAGTTACCTGTGCTGGTTAACTACTTCATGGTTTTGGACTTACCCGGATTTTAAATGTGTTAATTCAGCAAACTTTTATTTTAAGAGTACTTTATGTACCCTGTGCTAAGCAGTGTGCAAGATATTGGGGAAATAGTAGGTAACAAGATGTGAAATGACTCTCTTCATTTTATTTACCATTTAGCAGGGAAGATAGGTGTTGAAGTCTGGGAACGTCAGGAAACACTTCCCTGATGTAATGTTTATCTCAGCTTGGAAGGATGAAGAGCACTTTGCTAGGGCAAAAGGATGGGATTGGAGACCTGTGAAAGCATTGTAGGTTTGGTGAACAGATTAGGTCCTAAAAATGAACACGGAAAGGTGTCTTGGAGGAATCGAAAGAAATAGAGAAAAGCAAGGGAGAAGAATGGCTGTGAAAAGCTCTGTTGAAAGGAACCAGAGCATACAGGACTTCGTTGAGTCATGTTTAAGATTTTGGATGTTACTGAAGTATAGTGGGAAGCCAGTGAAGGGTTTTAGGGCAAGAAGGTTTTCAGATTGATGTTATTAAAAAAAAAAAAAAAGCTTGGCTGCAGTTTCAGCATAAAATAGAAGTCTGCATATCTGTATTTTGCTGTTTCATAGCTTCTATACATGTATCAGGGTTCTGAGTTACATAAACTGAAAATTTTGAACTTTATTAAAAGTGTTACCTTGAAATGCTTAAGATTGATACTTTGTTATCTCAAACATTTGCTTAGTCATACTTACTAATATGAAACTAAATGTTAGGCTTTCTTCTAACATTGTGTTTTGATGTTAAGTCTTGAAAAAAAATTAAGCTCTTTTGTTGTAGTAAACGTAAAAGAAAACAGAAAATATTTTCTATTATATTTTAAAACCTTTAGGTGAACTTACACATCAAAGTCATGGATTTTTTTTTTCTTAATCTGAAGAGACACCTCAAAAGCCAATGAAACTTTAATTTTTTAGAAAATAAAATTGAGAGGCAGATGGATGTAATAACATACTCAGGGTTTGTAAGTTGAGTAGTAAAGAACAAAGTGCTTAATGTTGTGCTTCTGTTACTGTGTAGCGCTGTGGAGGAAGTGTGTGGTGGAAAGAAGAGCTCTGTGTCCACATAGATCAGTATTAAAATCTCACTTCTGCCATTTATTAGCTGTCTTAGCAAAGGAACCTCTCCTTTCCTTATTGGTATGATAGGAAGAATTATACTGTTTCCATCTTTAGTTGAAAAGGTTGAATGGGAGACGTGTTTGAGAGCCTTGCCCTTCCCTCCTGTCTTAGATATTGGTTGATTTAAACACAGATAGGTTACATTACTACTGTTGTTACTGTTATAATTATCACCAAAGCTCCTGCTGTGGCTGCCACCTAAACTGTATGCATTGTTAAACATTTTGTATTACTGTACTTACAAGTTTTATAAGGTAAGCATTGTTATCTCCATTTTGCAGGTGATGATACTGAGGCACTGAAGCATGAAGTTGAGATATTTGCCTACAGTGATTTAAACTAAGGCTTTTTGATGCTAGAGCCAAGTGCATTTTCTTAATTTACTACTACACAATGTGGCATCCTAGTGTTTTCTGTTACTTTGTATACTTTTGTACTATTACATTTTCATAGTATTGGTTACTATTGTAAAATTACAAAGTTCTAAAGTGTTGTGGTTATCAGTGCTTTACATAGTTTAAGAAATAAACATCTTTGGAGTTTTTGTAGTATTTTCCCCTTCACCTGTGCTTGTAACTACACCTTTCTCGCCACATTAAAATTATTTTTATTCCTGTCTGATAGGAAGAGTTTTCTTTTGGGTTTGCTAAATGGTCTTTTTACTCCTGAACTTTTGATTATTTTTGCTTCCTTTGACCTTTCCTTTTCAATTCGCTCCTTTTGGCATAGTAAGTCAATTTCCCATTCTTTTTGAAAAGTCAGCGATAATAGCAAAACAGAAAAGAAAAATAATATCATGCTTTTAGTCCCTTTCTTGCTAGCTTCCTGTTCCTGTCACTGGTAAATCTTGGGAGTAGTAGTCAGACTTTAATATTTTGTTCATTTGCCCACAACCATTTACTTCTTAATGTCTTCTAATAGAATTTCTTCCTTGTAATGTAATTACAACCAAAATTGCTTTCCTCACTGTTACCAGTTTATATTTATTAAATATAAAGGCCTAAAATTTTACTTTTTTTTGCTTATGCTTGTATAACAGTGTTGATGCTGCCTTTTTACCTTACTTGCCTTGAATCCCTAATATTTTGGTTTTTTTTCTTAAATGAGTCTTACCCTCTTTTGTTTCTTTTCTTCAAATTCTAATTGTATTTTTCAGAGTTGT